CCATGGACACACATATGTGTATAAGAAAGAGATTTATACACAAGAGCAATTGAACATGGAGAAAACAGCCCAGTTCATATCAAGTCCGATATTAGCCCCTATTTCCGATACCAATCTATAAAGTTTTCTTCAGACTCACGAAACACATGCAATGACACCGAATGCAGAAGATCACAGGCCAGTGGGTGGAAAGAGCCTCTTATACAAGAGCAATTGAATATTGAGAAAACATCCCAGCCCAGTCCAGATCAAGTCCATAAGTCCGATATTAGCCCTTATGTCTGATACCGATCTATGAAGTCCTCTTCAGACTCATGAAACACATGCAATGACGTCAAATGCAGGAAGAGCACAGGTTAGTGGGTGGGAAGTCTTGTGGATCCAGTGGCGTAAGCATCTCAGTGCTGGCAGGGGTCCCCACATGGCTTCTCTGGCATCTGAGGTCTGGCTCCATCACTCTCTCTCCATGTGTCTTCTCCATAGGGATGTCTCTCAGAAAGTGAGGTGAGAGAGACAAAGCTTCTCCACCTCCAAGGAGGTATACCAGAGTTCCCAGAATCCTCAGGAGAAGGCCATGCCCACACAGGGACCTCATTGGCTATATCCTGCTTGACAGTCTAGACTCCACACCTACCCTCTTAATCCTCAAATTGACACCAGATTATGTAACTACCACAATAAGCTCATCTTTTCGTCGAGGATGGTTTCAGAAAGATCTTATGTGCCGTGAAAATCTGGGTGGCTCTTGCAAACTTGGCTGCAATTCACTTTATTTATTCATTTTTAACAGTTTGATTGCCATATAAATTCACATATTCTACAATTCTGTAGTCCAGTCACATCAGGAAGAGTTGTTCAATCATCACCACAATCAGTTTCAGAACATTTTCTTCATTCTTGTTGCTTTAAAAATCCTTTGAAATAAGGTTAGGCAGATCCATTAGTATTTCCTCTTGTGTTTGGAAGCATCTTATTGCAGGCTATAATACTTGAAGTCGGGACTCTATAAGAGCAATAACAATCACCATCATCTAAAAAAAGAAGAAAAATTCACAATCCTTAAGTTGATTTCGATTCATAGTACCCTCTATACGGCTTCTGGCTGTAAAATTGAAGGGCACAGACAACCTCATCTTTCTCCTGCAGAGAAGCAGCTGAGTTTGAACCACCAACCTTGTTGTGAGCAGTCCGACACTCACCCAACAGAGCCCCCAGGGAGAACAGAAAGCCCAAAATGTGTTTTCCTAAAGTGTGATGGATGGGAAACAGGATGCAGCCTGCCAGCACACAGAATTTCCAGCACCAAAGTTGAGCGCATAACAACTGACCGTTTTTGCCCGCAGCTGTGCAGTACACTGTTGGTAATGGGCTGAAGAAGACAGACTAGACTACAGGGAAATGAGTGCCTTGTCATTAATAACTTGTGAGTTAAACCTTCACTGCACTTGACATCTTGCCCTCACCTGGGGACAGTCTGATGAGTGCGTTTGCGGCAGGTAGTACTGATTCTGTGGAGAGACTGTTTCCATCCCGGGGCTGCAGGTGTTTAAACAAGCAGGTGTTCTCAGAGGTGAGATAGATGCTTTGGTCCCGATCAAGGTGCGTTGGAAGGAGCGAGGCTGAGCTGCCTGGCTGCGAGTGTTGATCACTCCAGAGGCCGCGCCACTCACCGACTGCAGGGTGGTAACTCTGTGGTGTTTAGAAGACGAGCTCTCTACCCCACTGCCCCCATGGCTGTTCCTCTGTGAATGGGTGCCCAGAGGGCCTGCACGGTGGTGGTGAGAAGCACGCTTTAGCAGAGCGAGCAGCTGTGAGAGGCAGGAAGGGCCTGCCACAGGTGTGCTCATGGTCTCCTTTGATTCACAGAGGGTGTTTGCGAGATATGGCTGACCAGCGAAGACACCGGCGCATATGGCAGAGACCTTGGCACCGATCTCCCCACGCTGCTGTGGAGGCTGGTGGCAGTGATTCCGGAGGGAGCCATGCTGAGGCTGGGCATGACAAACCCGCCCTATATCTTGGAGCACCTGGAGGTAAGACACGACAGCCCGTCCACATGCCAACACGGACACATTATCACTTGAGCCGCACAGAGGGCCATTTCCCCAGGTTTCTGTTTGTTCCAAAGAAGGCTGGAAGCCTCCACATTCTCTCTCCTCAGTCTGCTCATCTTGTGCTTGCCATCTTGCCTCCGTTCTTGGTTTCTTCCTTGTAGCCTTTCCGTTTCTGGCGCATACCAGTACCTCCATCCCTCCACGTTGATTCGTGGACTAATTCAGGACCACCAGGGTCATAGGTTGCTATGGAGACCGTCCACCGTGTGCTGCACCGACCACTTTTACCTGTACCAGCAAGGATGCGAACTAAATCAAACCAACTGTGACCAGGTCTATTTAGATGCACTGAGACTGTAAATCTGTTTAAATCATTTTATTGGGGGCCCGTACAACTCTTATCACAATCCATACCTACATCATTTGTGTAAAGTACATTTGTACATTCGTTGCCCTCATCATTCTCAAAACATTTGCTCTCCACTTAAGCCCTTGACATCTGCTCCTCATTCCTCCCCCCCTACTCTCCCTTCCCTCATTAACCCTTGATAATTTATAAATTATTATTTTTGTCATATCTCACAGTGTCTGACATCTCCTGTCACCCACTTTTCTGTTGTCCGTTCCCCAGCGAGGTAGTTATATGTAGATCCTTGTAATCGGTTCCCCCTTTCCACCCCACCCTCAGACAATGTAAATCTTTATGGCAGGGGACAGCCTCATCTTTCCCCCAAAGAGTGGCTGGTGGGTTTGAACTACCCACCTTGGGGTTAGCAGCCTAATGCCTAACCTATTGTGCTACCATGGCGTCCTATCAGGAGCCACTGCCACCAAGGGGATTCCAACTCATAGCAGCTCTCTATTGGGTTTGGGGGGCTATGAATCGTTAAGGGAGTAGATTGCCTCAGCTTTGTTTCTCTAAAGCTGGTAGGTTTAAACCACTGGCCTTGCAGTGTGCGGACCCAAACCTACTGGACAGTGCGCCAGGACTCCCTCAACGCGGACAGTAGACCTTCAATTTGAAGATGGTTTTCTAACTCCGTATCTTCATCAGGAGATAGGGGTGAAGTGGTATAAAAGGGGGGTACAAGCCGGCGGGAATGTGGGACTCTTCGGCCTGGTTCGCCTGTGATCTTGGGGGACAAAGAAGGAAGTGTGACCCGGTGTCATTCATTTGCATGCCTCCCATGGGTCCGGAAGCTTGCCTTCAATCTGCTTACTTCCAAGCCAAGATAAATGTATGTGAATAATGGTGGGAGCCAGTGGAAAAATCCATAAGAAATATGAGCAGAGACCATGGACGAAGGAGACACGATGTAATGGAACAATTATGTGAAAATAGGATGATTTCTTGGGCTGCTTTAGCAAAAGCACCAGTAATTGCCTGGATGATAAGAACAGAGATTTATTTTGTCACACTTTTAAAGGCCCTCACTGCCATCGTGTCGATTTTGACTCATTGATCCTGTAGGACAGGGTAGAACTGCACTCATTGGTTTCCGTGACTAGCTCTTTATAGTAGTAGAAAGCCTCATTTTTCTCCCAAGGAGCAGCTGGTGGTTTTGAACTGCTGACCGTTTGGTTAGCAGCCCGAGGCGCAGTCCATGTTCAGGGTTTTAGCAGGGCCACGTTCTCCTGGCCTGTTGTGTTCCCTGGTTGGTAACTCTAGCCCCCTGTGTGATAACTTCGCCATGACACAGTCATCTATTCGCTTCCTCGATGGGGCAGCTCTCAACTGGATTGGGACGCACTCTACCCCAATGGGGCCTCATATTAACTGATAGAATCTTCAAGGGCCACGTTTCCACACAAGGCCACCTTCACAGATACCTGAATTTATAATGTCAACATACATTTTAGGGCAACACAATTAGGTCTATGCCAGGGTCTACAACTATTATAGGAGAAATAAAGTGGCTCCGGGTTGTGGGCATGAAACTAGTAAGTACTGTTTGGAAGTCATATTCAAAGTGTCCAAACCAATCGAAGGAGTTCTTTGTATCATCTCGGTGCCAAAAGAATAATATCTCCCACAGTAGAAGCTAGGGTTATTGCTGAAAATAATACATAAATGCAAATAAATATTCAAACGTTGAAAAGGTGGTTTCTCTTGATTTCATTTTGGGGCTATACTTTTTTATTATATCATTTTATTGGGGCGTCTTACAAATCTTATGACAATCCATCATTCAATTGTATTAAGCATCATGTACATATGTTGCCATCAACATTTCCAAGACATTTTCTTTCTACTTGGGCCCTTGGTATCAGCTCTTCTTTTTTCCCCTCCCTCCCCCACACTCCTGCCATCGTAAATCGTTGATCAATTATATATTACTGGTTTTTTTATTGTTGTTATTTGGGGGTTATACTTGTTTAGGCTGTTGGTCAAAAGGCTCTTCAGTGATAAATAATAGATTTCAGCAGTTCTGAAGACAAAGTTGATAACAATTTGGTCATTATAAATATAAAAGGAAGAAATTAACATTTTCCCAGCCAGATATTTTAAATAAATGTTTGTGATTTTTATATTCATTTGGTCACCCTGAGATGATCATGATGTATATTTTAAAATACATCACAACATGTTAACTTTTGCTTAGCACTTTTTCTTGACACTTCAAAAGGAAAGTGCTCCTCTGTAAAATATCAAATACGCTAACAACTATGACATCTTGCGAGCTTTGAAATAAATGCGAGAGAGATAACATGAAGATTTAGTGATATATCAGAGCAGGGCAGGGGTCGGGGGGCGGGGCTAAGCCAATAATAGGTTTGCAAACATGCCAATGTGTCTTGGATTGAACACAATCTCCTCAGAGGTCATGGGGAACCATCGTAGTTAGAGTCAGAGAAGTTCAGCTAGGAAGTCCACACAAGGGGAAAAAGAATCGGCTATTGGCTCCACACTGACTCCCCTGAGCCACATTCAGCATTCCCACTGGTTGTGAGATCAGAGGGTGTAATGCTGCCTTCAGAGCAAATTCGAACATTCAGCGCCAGAGTTATTGATCTTGGAATGGAGGCGTAAGGGGAGCTTCCAAAAGGTGGTACATGTAACTTCATACCTCACCTGGGAATCACCAGGTGTTTAGTTAATAGCTTGGGGCCAGAGTACCCACTGCTTCGCATTGCCGTGGCATTTTAGTTCTGAAACTCTCTCTATGCTGGCCTTCCCTGCTAACATACCATCTTCTACTTCAGGTAGAGCCTTGTCATTTCCATCTCTGCTGCTACCCAGTGGGGCTCAGTGAATGAACCGAAGGAAGGAAAGAAGGGAGGGAGGGAGTGGGAGCGAGAATCTTCTTCATAAAGTAAATTCTAGAACTCACAGTGGGTAAACCGAACCCTGGAGAGTCTTAACCCTCAGGCCAGAAAAGGCAGTGGAAGATGCTGCAGGAAACGAGCTCAAGGTGTGAGCGCTCGCCCCAAGGAAAGCTGCCCGCCCCACATTCTTTATCGGCAAGGTGGACTTGGTCCATCGTGCACCACGCCGAAGAGGGACTGCAGCAGAGAGGAAACAGAATAAAACACAGCAACACATAGCAACAAAAAGGCAAGGCGACAGACCTACCCCACCTGGGAGTGAGCGCTTCCACCCATTCCCTTTGCCACCTTGATGAGCCTGCCCTTCACACCTCCTTTCAGTGGCTCTCTCCCTTCCGCCCTGCACGGGAGAGCCCGCACTGTGCGCACGCAGTGTTCTCCACAGTTCTTAGTGCACAGAAAGGTTCAGAGCTTCTGCAGCCACAGAGGCACCAGGAAAGGAGCCCGGAGCGGCGGTCGCACAGCCCCACAGATCCCCATCCCGTCCCCAGCCAGGCATTGACTGCATTTCCTCATCTTCCTGTCGTTAAACTGGACCGCTGTCCAGAAAGGACTGAATCTGTGGAGGAGTGCTGCCGAAGAGAGTTCACTGCCATGAAAACCAGCAGAAAGGATGCAAATTGAAAAAAAGTAACAACAAATGACAGTTGTTTGGTTCAGAACAGGGCTAGACAGAACCCTCTCGAAATCACTGCGCCGATGCTTTAATACAGTTTCCTGAGAATTTGCATCAGTGGGCACGGTCTGCGTAAGTTTCTGGAAGTCCTGACTCTGGTGGCTCTGATTTTAGAATCCTTTTACCAGCTTGTTTATTACCGTATGTACTCGTGTATAAGCCGAGTTTTTTCAGCACATTTTTAATGCAGTTTTGTGATAAAATTAGGTGCCTCGGCTGATATTTGGGTCGGCTTATACTCGAGTATATACAGCTATTTAAAATATTTTTTAATTGAAGAAGTTAGAGGGAAAATTACTTAAAAGGAAAACGCCAAAGATAAAATAAAAATTTAAAAACGCCAGAGCTTCTGTCATATTTTCTTTAAGATCTATTTGGGAACTGTATCTGCTGAGAATATATTTTACTAAATCTACACAGGAATAAAAGGTGCGTTGGATTTTATCAATGCGTGGCCCTTTATGCAAAGACAACCAAACCAACCCCACTGTCATGGGGTTAATTGTGCTCATAGCACTGCTGTCTGTGTAGGACAGAGTAGAACTGCTCCTTAGGTATTCTGAGACTGTACCCCCCCC